TTTTAAGGGTGCCAAAGAGTCTGTTTTTAGTTCCCTTTTTCCCTTTTTCCTCTGGCGTAGGGGTGCCCCAAATTTTTTGGGTCCCCCTTTTGGGGCATCTTTCCCTGTCCCCCCAAAATTAATCTAGTTTCTTTTCCCCCCGATTTTGTTACTTTTTCCCCCAAAGGGTCTCTAAACCAAAACCCCCCTTGTTTTTACCCCCTTTTTTTTCCACAAAAAAAAATAAAAGTATGACACTAATTTAAGCTAAGCAACTATCAAAAGACCAGAAACTACATCTAACTCCTCTCTAGGACGCTTTTAACGGCCATAAGTAGTAGGACCAACAGAATGATGAATGAATAAGAACATTAGCTGCAGAATCATAAACCACCAGAACACACTCTACAAAGTATCTGACACGTAGCTGGTTGAAAGCCTATGCTCTTATTGGTAGAGGAGTAGCAGAAGAAGAAAGAAGAATCTTGGTTTGCTCACGACTGGGGGGGGGGGTATAGAGTAATAAATAAAATAATGTAATGCCAGAATAGGTTACACAGAAATCAACAACTCTCTATATCACACTTCTTCTTCTATCCTCTTTTCGTTTCGTTTCGTTCTGAAGTACATGCTTTTTTGCCTGTCCCTACTTGCAAAGCTGCCATATTTGCCCCTTTTAGCCAACACATGGAACTTCATTGAGCATTTGCTGACCGGGTTAAACTTCCAAGATAGGTTTCATGGACAGTGACATGTTGTGGCCTTATCAGTGTGGTGTTCTCTTTGTCCTCTTATCTACAGGTGTTACCCCTGGAGACTCCGTCCAGGGCATCCGTGTGTAGACAGGTCAGCCCTCAAGGAAAGGCAGGGGCAGATCATGGGCATTCCCCGTCATCCAAGGAGGTTTCCATAATGCAGAGCGGACACATGACGCTCTGGTCCTAGGCTCACCCAAAGGAATTATCACATCTTGCACATGTCTTCTTAATCTCACTTCTGTGTGTTGAGCCTTCCAATTATCATGGACTGTGCCCTCCAGACAGCAGCCCGCAGGTCCGGGACTTCGGTAGCCACTAAATAGGCAAATTTTTCTTCAGCATGTTAGACATCTTTAAGGTTTTGTCATCTGGAAACACAGCATGATAGTACAGCAAAGCATGGCTCCTCCTTTTAGGTCCCATACAAGTGGGCCAATGGTAACGGTCAAAAAACTGCTTCAGCGCTGTTTTGGTTTCCTTGTAGCTGTGTGGTGGATGAGGTTGTGGAAGATTACTCCCAGCTTTTGCCAACTCATCTGCTCTCTCATATCCTTGGATACCACAGTGGGCTGGTATCCACTGCAAGACCAGTTCTGTTTCCTTGGAGAGTAAGCCAATGTTGGTCCTTAGATCTGCAATTAGTTAGTCTTGTTTTTTGCTTGATAGTGCTTGGAGAACAGACAATGAGTCACTAAGTATAACAATTTTGTGCCCTCTGTATTCTTGAGTGATGAGATGTTGGACTGCAGAAAGGAGGGCAGTTGCCTCAGCTCTGAAGTTAGTGCAGATGTCACCTGCTGGTAGAGAGAGAGTTTCTGCTCTACTGCTAGGGGGTTTAATGTATATTCCACAACCCCCCTTTCTGACTGCATCTGTAGCAGAGCTGTCGGTGAAAACCTGAGTCCAAGTGGTGTTTGGATACTTCTCATCAAGCATTTCAAGAGCCAGGGTTCTCTGTTGTGTCTCCGTCTAGGCATCTTTTGAAGTGATCCCTGGTACCTGTCATTTTTCTGTCATTTTCCTTCTGTGGCTTGCTTGTCCATGGTTCTGGCCTAAGTTTTTTGCACAGTGCAACATCTCTTTCAAGCAGATCTTGGTGCTGTCTGTACAGTCCTCTAGCAAGGTGGTTGGGGCTCTAATGCTTCAGTCTGTTTTTTGTTCTCTCTTGAAATTTAAAATGCAGTGGGTGACTTTGAAGTCTTTTCAATTTCTCATACTGTAAAAGAGTTTTGTAATGTCTTCTGAGTTCGAGTGGCTCAGTATCTGCTATTCTCTCTATCTCTCTGATGGGGGTGGTTTTCATGGCTCCGAGAACAATTCTTAATCCCATATTCTGAACCTTGTCCAGTTTTCTCATTGTTGTCTTGGCTGCTGCAGCCCATGCAGTGGAGGCATATTCCATGACTGGCCTGACTGCTCCAGTATATACTTGTTTTAAAATTCTGGAGTACCCCCTGTGATACCTGCTAATTTTTCATCACTGCAAGCTTCTTGAATGCTTTCCCCTGTACTGCTTCTACATGTGACTTACAAGTTAGTCGTGAATCAAGTGTAACGCCAAGAAAGGTAGGTATGTCAGTCTGTGGAATGAGCTGGTTTTTTATCCAAATTTCGATTTTTTCTTTTTTTGGGGTAGAGAGAGAAAAATTATGCTGTGCCTTTTGAATTAATTAGCTTTAGACCCCACTTTTCGGTCCAGGCTTCTACATTTTCCACAGTTTTCTGTAACAGATATGAGGCTGTGGTAGTGTATTCAAAGGCTGTCCAAACTGCAAAGTCATCAGCATGTAGGGTATTAGAAACGTGCTGGTGGCAGGTTGCTGTGATATCATTTATGTAAACCAGGAACAGAGTTGGTGCTATCGCACTGCCCTGGTGAACTTCTTCTCTTAGTTTTGCCAGTTTGCTGATGTGTCCATCAATTCTGAATCTGGCTCTGCGTTGGAAAAGAAAGTCTTTGATCCACTTGTACATGTTGTGCACAACTCCTGCCTGTAGCAGTTTTAGTTGTAGGCCTTCTTTCCAAACTGTGTCGAAAGCACGAGAGAGGTCAAAGAAGACAGCAAGAACTTTTTTTTTTCTGGAAGGCATTCTCAATTTCCTGTGCCAGATATGTCAATTGGTCCTCTGTGTTTCTGTGCTGTCTGTATCCTGTCTGGGTGGTGGTGATTACTGAGTTTGTCTCCAAGAACCATATTAGTCTTTTATTTACTAATTTCTCCATCAATTTTGCTACACAACTAAGAAGGCTGATAGGTCTGTAGCTTTTTGGGTCTCTTCTGTCTCCCCCTTTTTGAGGATAGGCTGGATGAGAGCTTCCTTCCAGGCTAAAGGTACTACACCTTTTTGCCAACTCTGGTTGCAAATGCAGAGAAGAAACTTCTTGGCAGCAGGTCCAAGATGAGAGAGAAATTCGTTTGTAATGCCGTCAGCCCCTGGTGTTTTCTTCATTTTCAACTCTCCAACTTCCAGCTCTTGCATAGTAAACTTTTCTGACATGTAGGCCTCGGTTGTTTTTGTGCTAGAGTCTGCTAGAAGAGTCTTGGTCTGGTTTCATACTTCTTTTATTCTTTGCAAGGGAATATGAACCTCAGTTTACTTCTGGTGTGTTTCAGCTAGCACATCTGCTGCTACCTTGCCAGTAACAGTTCCATCGTCTGTTTGGAGTACAACTCTGGCTTTATCTGTCTTGTCTCCATTCAGGCTTTTTGTGAGATTCCACAGACGTGAAGTGTCCTTCTCAAGGTTAAATGACGCCGTCTTTTTGTGCCAGCTTTCCCTCTTCTGATTATTTCTCTCTTTGATGAAGGCTGCTTTTGCTCTGTTATGAAGTATTACATTTTTATCTGTCAGATCCTTCTCCATATTTTCCCTCCTGGTACTAAGTTTTGAATGCAGAGTGTCCAGTTCAGGCGACCAGTAAGGTTTAAAGTTTTTCCTGCTGCCTCGTGGTATGTTACCCTTGGCTGCATTTAGAATAGTTGTGTTGAGGATCTTCAGTTTGGCATTTATTCTCTCTTCAATGTGTCGTCCAGCTGGGAAGTGAAAAGGCTCCAGTTTGCTTTCTTGTAGTTCCAGCTGGGAGGGTTCTTTTCCTTAGTAACTTCTGTACTTTTGTTAATAGAAAGGATTACGGGCCTGTGATCACTGCCTCCCAGCTGTTGACATACATCTCGACTGGTAACTTTCTCCACATCTTCAGTTGCTATAGCCAAGTCTGGGGTGCTAGTTTTCCTCCAAGCTCGAGAGTAGAATGTGTCTGGGTCGTCACGATGATTTATCATAACTAGAGTGTTGCTGATTATCCAGTTTTCTACCTCTTCTCCTTTCGCATTGAGGTCTGTGTAGCCCCAGCTAGGTGAGTGGCTATTTAGATCTCTGACAGCAATCCAGTTTTCTGTGTTTAGTTGGATGGGTCCCAGATTAATATCTCTGTTTGGTGGTGAGTAGATGTTGCATACTGTCACATCTCCCCTTGCACCCTTGATAGTGACTGTGATAAACTCTGTATCCCCCACACTGAGATCTCTGGGTTTCCCAAGCTGCGATCGTGTTCTTGACAGCAGTCAAGACTCCTCCTTTTGGATGATGTAACCTGTCGTGTCGGAAGATTTGGTATCCCCTGATAGAGAATCTATGTGCACTTGTGAGGTGAGTCTCTTGGATGCAGCATATGTCAATATCATGCTGCTTCAAGAAATTTTATAGTTCAGTTTTCTTTAGCCTCACTCCCTCAGCATTCCAGTGCATAATTGTCAGTTTGTGTCCAGTTGCATTACTCTGTTCTTCCCTGGTCACTCCAGAAGATTCAGAGGTTGTGGCTCTAGTAGCTTAGGGTGGGCTCCTTCGAGGCAGGGGGCCCGGCGCCATCCCTACCCGTCCACGTCCCATAGGAATGACACCATAACGTAATAATGTTGTTTGCATGACCATTCCTCCAGGAGGGAAAATGTTCAACAATGCTTCTATACTGTAATCCAGGTAGTTGGTGTAGGGCATCAAACTGTCAAGTGTTTTCCCTTGAGCGCCCGAAACAGATGTTGTCTCGTGCCGAAAATTAAAGGTGAAAATCCGAACGGCGTTGATTCGTTAAAGTTGAATGTACTTTGGCGAGTCTCCTATCCTAGAGGCTGCTCTGTGTCCGGCTCCTAGTGGGTCCAGAAAATAAACCTGTTCATCTAATGGCCTAGTAAAAAGTCTTTTGACCAGTTTCATGTTACACGTGTTAACCTTGTTATTGGCTTTCTGTGATGTTGCAGGACCTTGGGCCCGCTTCAAAATTCCGCTGTTAACTGTCCTTCGCTGACTGTTGCTGGGTAGGGCCATGTGATTTGAATGCAGCAAGTGAAAAGGGTGCCGAGAGACTGGAGTGTTCTCAGTCAGGTACGCCCAGGGCTTCATGGATAATATCCTGTTGAATCATTGACTCCTTCATTGTGAGGAGGTGGGGGGGGGGGGAATATTTATAATGTGTTCGCTAATTTCACTAGACTCGATGCGGAGATGTTGATCTCCCTTTATTCATTTAGTAAAATGGGTCCATAAACTGCTCTACAGTGGGGGTTTTTCCCCACAGGTAAGTTAACTGAGCTAAGTCAGAGTTATTTATTTATTATTTTACTGCCGCGCCCGCCTGGGTCAGAAAGAGTTAACGGGATCAGCACATTTTTCTCCATGGAGCAGGCAGAAGGGCTGAGAAACTTCTGTCATTGTGTTTGCTGCAGGATGGAAAGTAATGCGACTGAAATGTCCGATTTTTATTCCACCGTGGAATGTGACTTTTGTCTCAGCTTGTTCAGTTCTTCCGTTTTATTGTTTGGAGGATAGCAAACGTGTATCGGGTGTCAGTGATACATTTCAGTGAAGAGACACGCCCATTTTAACGCTTTACCTGTTGTTTCCATACAGTATGTGAATGCTTGTTAAACTCTTTATTTAAAGAATCCAACATTTTTATCACGTTTTGATATAAAGCACAACACAATATTTCACAGCACAGCTGACAGAACAATGGTCACAGTGATATAAAAATCATATTTCTTTCACTAAGTCAAACTGAATTATAAATCCAAAAAGTGAGAGCTCGGAAAAAACACGTCCTCTCGGTAGGTAGTGAGTCGGTGTCACCAGTCTCAGCAGTACAATAATTCTTCTCACTCAACAGACATTTTACTCAAGGGTCATTATTTAGTTGTATGTTCAGCTGGTGGACTTTACCCATTGTTAGAGGTTTTCTGTTAGAGGTTTTCACCCATGCACTTGGGGTGGGCTGATGTGAGCCAGACCAGACACTACACCTCTAGAGGCCACCAGCTCCAAGATCCCCAGCCAACTCGGTTCAGGTCTCAAAGGTGAGCCCGTATCCATGGCGCATGACAAGGACATGCAGCAGGAGTCACATGAAAGGACATGCAGCAGGAGTCACATGACAAGCACATGCAGCAGGAGTCACATGACAAGCACATGCAGCAGGAGTCACATGACAAGCACATGCAGCAGGAGTCTTATGTGAGGATCTGTAAAACCATCCCAGAGCTGGCTGGTGTCCGAGGTGAGACACAGAGTAACTCCTTATACACATCACAATGGCCTTAACTTTCTCTCATGCCTGTGATCGATATCACTACGCCACTTATACTGTCTTACCATGGTCTGTCACCTGCACTTGAAGAGGGACGGCCATAGCTTGCGCTGTCCTGACATATTTTAGATTGTCCATCATCTAAACGTAAACAAGTAAAATACATCAAACAATGATGAGCTGAGTGTTGCTGCTAATTACTTTGAATGTTCTACTTTTTTTTTTCTTCACAACAGGTAACATTAATTGATTAAATAGATAATTACTTATGTTTGTAACATACTATAAGTGGACCCCACCTAGTACAGACTTCCTGCTGCTATGTATCCCTAAGAGGCCCCACCAAATACAACAACTTTCATGATTGAACATGGCGTCCCGGGTTTGAACTGACTTGATTCTCATCCCTGAAATGTTAATCCTGCAGCCCGCAATCCTAGAGGGGTCAGAATACATCATCATCATCATTCTCCTGTTGTGCCATTACCTGTCACATAGGGCTCACAGACTATTCCCCCATTCCATTTATCCTGTGCAAGCTATCATTTCAATATCATTGATGGAATACAGTCTAGTACCTTTGGCCTCTCTCATCAATGTTCATTTTAGGGTTTCTTTTGCATCTTCGCCTCATTAATCCCTTTATTTCCCATTTAAGTGCATTTTACGAAGCGAACAGAAGGGCCCGTTCTAGAGATCTCTTCCTCCCCTGACACCGCAAGGCATTCTAGGAGTACGGAAAAGATGAAGAAGTGCCTGTGTAATGATTCTCTGCTCATTTTTTTCTCAGAATGTGTCCAATCTAGCACATCTTTTCTGTCTTATGACTGTTGATACTAGTGGTTGCCCAGGCATTTTAACTATTTCTACATACGTCTTAAATTCATCCCATTTTATGTTCAACATTTTCTTCAGGCATTTGTTTTCTAATGCATTTCACTTTTTGCTCCATGTCCCTAGGCATTCTCCAACTTTCACTGGCACATGTTAAGACTGAATAACATTAGAATTGAAAATATGTAATTCGGTTTTGAAACTATACAATTTAGAGTTCCATATTTTGTTCTGGCTTTTAAAAGCTGCTGGCGCCTTGCCACTGCATGTCATAATTTCTTTCTTTGTATTTCCTTTACTTTCAAAATTGCTATCTAAATAAATAAACTACTTTAATTCCTTTTCTCTTTGGTGTTACAACAGCTTGATCTGTTATTCATCATCACCATCATCAATTTCCACTTCTGCTGTTAAGCGTTGTGGGAGGAACAGTTTGTGATCAACTACTTTATCTGCAGCAACTGGCTATTGTCATTCTGTGCTGATTAAGAAGCTCTTTAATGTCATCAATCCATATTCTCCTAGGGCAGCCTCTTGCTTTTGCTTTAGATATTTTCATGTGAAACACTTGCGCTGGTAGTTGTTCTGACTGTATTCTTACTAAATAGCCAAACCATTTGATCTCCTGTTTCCCAACGAATTTGCTGCGTGGTGTTGTTCTTACAGTCTGTTTGATAATATCAATTCTTATATTTTCTCGGATTGTTGAGTCAGCAGCTTTTCTCAGGCATCTCATTTTGCAGGTGTTAATTTTACGTAGGCTAGCCTTTGATAATGTCCAAATCTGGAGCTGGTAGCACAGTGCTGGCATAAATATACTATTTATAATTTGTTTCTTGGCACTCATACTTATGTTTGGATGACATAGCAACGTCAGTTGATATATAAGTGCATTGGCTCATTGGCATTTTGTTTCTATTTCTGGTTCATCCACCATAAAAATGCCTACAACAAAAATACATTCACAGGATATTCCATTAGACTGAAAATGAGAACATTACTTTTCTTACAACAACAGACTGAACTACCCCCCAAAAAGGCATGTCGTAAAAAGCCACTAATCTGTCATGTTTTCTTTGAAGTCAGAGTTCCTCTGTCTGAGAGGAGGCAAGAAACCGACAGTCTACAAAAAAATGAGCCAGATCTGTAAAAATGTGCATGCAAACTCAAGTTCTGGAACAAAACCATAATTCACAAGTGGACAATAACAAAAATTTGTTGCCAGATTTCACAGCTGGTGAATGGTAAGAAGATGAAAAACAAACTGTTGTATAAGTTAATCTTTCTTCTGCACCTGTGAGTGCCATCATTGCACTACTTAATTTGTTTATCTTATTGTTATGCCTGCTACAATGTAAGTTAGTTGCGTATCCTACACACAGGACGTTGCAGAACCAACCCCAGCATTTCTTTTGGCTGTTGTGGCTTTTCTAAGCAAGTTTACGTCAAGTAGTTTGCCATTGCTTTCTTGACGGTCGTCTTCTCGATACCACTGTCAAAATCAACGCAAGGCACAAGGCCCACAGCTGGGATCAAACCCGGCACCCCGGCATTACGAGGCACGTTCTCAACGCCCAAGCCACAGCCGCCACCTGTTACAGTGTAAGCAGTTATCAAATACAAAACACACAGGTAAATCATATAAAAATGTAAAATATATTAAAATATAACATACACAAACAATAAAATATTTTAAAAAATATACCTTCTCCTTCTATGATCTCTAGACAACCAGTAATCTTGGACAGCTTTCTTGAAGCACCAATTAAATCTAGTCTGAAATTATTTTCAAAATGCTACAGTGAACAATATTTTTATTTACATGTCAATTATTTTCATTTACCTCAACTCATGCAATACCAAAAATCTCAACATATGTTGATCAGTGAGCCCTTTCATGACCAAAACTTTCCTCTGGGGAGTCTACTGACAATCTTCTTCCATTTGTTTTCTTCTCCCTAGACCAGTGGATGCTGTGAAGATGTGGTTTTATAGACAAATTATGAGAATACCCTGGACAGATTAAACAAAAGTAATGAAGATTTCTTGAAAGAAACTGACTCAAAAAGAGAACTGATTGCCCACATCAGAAAGAGACAGTCTACATTCTCTGGTCATGTGATGAGAAGGAGAAAACTGGAGTACATCGTGACAGTAGGAAAGTTGGATGGGAGGAGAGACAGAGGGAGACCGAGAGAGAAAAGATGCTGGACAGTTTGACATCATGGCATGGAGGACCATGTGTCAGAGTTGATTGAAATTACAAGAGACAGATAGTTTTGGACAAACATTACTACCAACGCCACACGACATGGACTTTAAGAAGATAAGGGGAGCTGCATGGTCTTAAGGCATGCGCATCCACCTAAAGTGCTGGAGGTCCTGGGTTCAAGCCCCAGTAAAGGCTTGGATATTTTTATGTGGACCTCTAGTAATTTCCTCTGGTCTCTGGGTAGTAAGATCGGATGCCCGTGTGTATTGTTGTGCACATAAAAAATCCCTTGGCAGTTCGAAATCGAAAAAGGGTAACCTAACAGCACTGCTAGGCAAAATTTGGAGTTGAAAATTTCCCAAAGTATTTCATGATCCTCGCCGGAGTTCGTGCACTGCGCTGAGATTCTTCGAACTCAGACTTGAGTCATACAGAGCACTTACAGGTTACTACCCTTCTGCCATGATGTTGATCAGTCGTCTAAACCTAAACCTTAACTTTAAGAAGAAGAAGAAGACCCATGATTTTCAACCTTTTTCAAGCAGTGCTCCCTTCGAATATAATTTTTTAAACAAAAAAATGTGATTGAAAAAGAGGAGGGGCAAAAAAATCAAAATCAAAAGCACTATTAACAAGAACTTGGAGAAAACATTTATTGAAATCAAAATGTCAATTAACATGAAAGAAACAATCACCAACAATTGGTAGTGTCCAAATATAAATAATTACTGGTTGACAAGTGGTTTGCCCCAATGATATCTGCTATTTTTTTGGGGTCTCATGTTGGACAAGGCACAACACAGACCACTCTCCTCGTGAAGCTGGCAATGTCATTTTGTTTACAAGTACAAATACACTCAGTTTCAAAATCGCTTGAATACATTTATTATCTGCCCTATCCAGTCTGTACTACAGCTTACACTGTATCTGTCAAGGGCACTATTTAACTTAATGAACAGGGTTTTCTGGGATTTGCACCTGGGGGATTCACATCCAAGTAATGACGCATTTCACTTTGTGTCAAGGGGTGTTAATCGTTCAGTATGCGATCCTAGTGAGGTTCACTTTCATTCAAACTGTTTGACGCTCCTCTCAAAAGTTTCTTGCACACACCTGGGAGGTAGGGGGGTTGTGTCGCCTCAGGTTGAAAGCCACTGCACTAGAACGTGGTCTGGCTTTCAGTATCAGGTTTTGAAAAAGCATCTAAAGAAAGCCTTAGTGTGTGCTATGCAGATGCTGGTATTCCCTGCCTCAGATATTCCATCTATCCATCACCTGCATGGGCAGCCTCTAGGGTTGCCTCTGTTGTGCCTTAACTGACAAGGTTTCCATGGTGCACTATCTTGCTGTAATCTTGACATGTCTGAATCTTTTCTTCTTCTTCTTCTTCATTCTTCTTCTTCTTCTTTTTCTTCTTCTTCTTCTTCTTCCTCTTCATCTTTTTCTTCTTCGTCTTCTTCTTCTTCTTCATCTTCTTCTTCTTCTTCTTCTTCTTCTTCCTCTTCATCTTTTTCTTCTTCTTCTTCCTCTTCATCTTTTTCTTCTTCTTCTTCTTCATCTTTTTCTTCTTCTTCTTCTTCTTCTTCTTCTTCTTCTTCGTCTTCTTCATCTTTTTCTTCTTCTTCTTCTTCCTCTTCATCTTTTTCTTCTTCTTCTTTTTCCTCTTCATCTTTTTCTTCTTCTTCTTCTTCATTCTTCTTCTTCTTCTTCTTCTTCTTTTTGTTCTTCTTCTTCTTCTTCTTCCTCTTCATCTTTTTCTTCTTCTTCTTCATCTTTTTTTTCTTCTTCTTCTTCTTCTACATCTTTTTCTTCTTCTTCTTCTTCTTCCTCTTCATCTTTTTCTTCTTCTTCTTCTTCTTCCTCTTCATCTTTTTCTTCTTCTTCTTCATTCTTCTTCTTCTTCTTCTTCTTCTTCTTTTTCTTCTTCTTCTTCTTCTTCCTCTTCATCTTTTTCTTCTTCTTCTTCTTCTTCCTCTTCATCTTTTTCTTCTTCTTCTTCTTCTTCTTCTTCATCTTCTTCTTCTTCTTCTTCTTATCAATGTTCACCGGTAGTAAACTCCAGTGAAAAGTTCTGGTCATTAGCTCACTTCTGGATTTGGCTTGTTCCAGACTCGATTTTTGTGTGCACATCCATTTTACAGACGTGGCTTATCTGTATGCAGACTGCTGGTTCTACGCCTCAAAGGCAGATACCCACCGACTTTGAAAGAAACATCCCCAGTTAGTCGTCTTTTTCAACATGCCTGTTAGGGAAGCTGCGGGTCTATAAATGTTTCATTCGAAATGAATCCCTAGAACCCACACAGAGAGAAACATTTGATGTATTATTGTAGTTTACCACTGGTTCCATCCCAGCTTGTATCCTGATATTGTTATTTCTTATTCCGTCTCATCTTGTTACATTTCAGATTCGTAACAGACATTTATTTTCATTTGGTTCAATTTTCCTTTTTCTTTTTGTTGATAAAGATTCCCGCCCAGGTGATGCGATTATCCATATAGATGGCTCTGTGCTGAGGGGTAGACAAAGTGCATGGGGCCTCACAGCAAAAGCAAATAGATGTCACTTAGTGCTTTAATTAATCCACAGCTAGTTTGCTGGGAAATCAAATGTAAATAAATTACATTAAACCCATGGAAGAAATATTCCCAACCCAGACTCAGTCCCCACCAGAGCTGAGCTGTCACATCCTTTCATTCTTCTCTGCAGACATGAAGTTTTCAGAACTGATCTTGCGCATCCCACAAGTTACTGAGCTTGGAATGGGCAAGGGAAGCTTTACAACACAGACCTCTTGGACTGAAGATGTACATCAGCACTGGATCAGAAGCAAGGTCTTAAACTAATTTCTCCAATAGATGCAAACCCTTGCTAGTGCTCCAAGGACTTGAATACCAGTGCATTATATTTAGGAGTGAAAATAAATCGCGTCATCACCCTACCAACTGCTTTGATTCCAGTTATGTCTGTAACTCAGTCTGCATTAGTTATTACTATCAATATCATATGCTGCTTTGAAAAACAAATTGTACAAAATGTAAAACTGATATGGGCTGTGTGATAGAACTAGTCTAAAATAGGTACCGTGAAATATTATAATAAGTAAAGGTGGCCAGTGTGATACTGACCTCAATGTCCATTGAGTGCCAGCTTCTTCTTCTCTTCAGCATTCTGAGCCCTTGAGGTTCATTGCAGCAGATATCACCCACCTCCATTCATCTCTCTGGTTGGCCTTCTCTTTTCAGTTGGTAACACCAAGTGTTTGCAGGTCTGTCAGGACGTTATCTCTCCATCTTCTTCTTGGTCTGCCTTGTGGTCTACGACCATTTATCTCCCTTGTGTATACAGTTTTTACTTCTCTGACATCTGATATTCTCTCAATACAACTCAACCATTTCAGTCTATTAGCTCTCATGATGCCAGTGATCAGTGGTGATTTAAACAGATAATGAATTTCGTTATTGCTTCTCACTCTCCATTACCTGCTGTTTGCATCTTTAATGGGTCCAAAGAAACTTCTAATAAGGCTTCACCTCTTTTAGTTGTGCTCTAAGTTTCACAGCCATATAAAATGACTGGTCTTATCAATGTTTTATATATTTTGATCTTAGTGTTGCGAGACAGACACTTGTACTTTAGCAGATGTTGAAGTTTGAGTGCCAGCTGCTCTTTACAAATTTGGAACTAGCATCACCTGCCATACCTGTCAGAAGGCCAGGAACATATAAAAGACTGACAGTGGCTTGCCATCATCATCCTTATCATCTGCAATATCATCATCATCATTCAGAAAGCCAACAAAACTGGCAAAAGACAATTGCCATATAATGGACAGATCAGAGCAAGTAATTATTCTACACCTTAGAACAGGATACAATTGACCCTGCAGTAACATGTAAACAAAAGTTAAGATTGGTGAATCAGCCATGTATTTATGTGGATTAGCACCTGAGACAACAGATCAAGTCCTCCAAGACTGTCCCAGATACAACATATCAAGAAAAAACTTTTGTCTAAGAGAAACACTAGTGCAAGCCAAACTTTGTGAGTCGCTGACTGAATTACAACAGACAGTGAAGTTCATATTAGAGATGACATAACAGATATAGATAATCTAGTGAATGAAAGAAGCAGAAATTGAAGAAATTATAAATTCCCACTTTTGCCATTAAGCAACAAGGAAAGGACCTGTCTGCAATCCACTGCTTGATGGGTAGCAATGGCTACTGTCATTCTTTGATGTCATCAGTCCATAGTTTTCTAGGGTGACCTCTTGCTTTAACTCTTTGAGTCCCAAGGAACGCATCATGCGCTAATGTGTTACAACCGGGCGGCCCAATCGACACGTGACTAGTGAAGGTTTTTCATCTACCACTAGCCAGTTATAAAACGCGGACAGCTAAATTTCATCTTCCTTTTAAGTTCTTTGTGTTTTATATCAAGCGTGCTCATTTAGAAACATGGTTTGAAAGCTGAAAATATAGTAAATTTGCTAGATTTGCCGAGTTACTCAGTGTTTGTTTGAAAAGAATATGGTTGATAAGCAGTATTTTATCAGCATGCCAACATGATTTACGGCTTTAGAAGCCTCAAATTTTAATAAAATATGTGTTTATTTAATTAATCCAAAGTTAGATAGATAACGTTGCGAATTATATGTGTTTCAGTCATTTATAGAGTTAAACTTTGATGAGAGACATGTCTAATGTGTACCTCACACGAAGGTAAAACAATAGCAAAGTCAGCTGGCAAATATAGAATAAACATTAGTGAAAAGAAGATTTTCTTCAGTGTCTGTTAGTTCTAGTGCTATTCCCCTTATTTTTTTAGAAACATAGCTACAAAACTGCAGGCAAATTGATTGTTAGATAAACTTCATTTTGTGTGAAGATACTTATTGTTTTGGCAGTCAGTTTTCTTTACCAAATCATAGTGCTCTGTTATGATGCTTCAAAAAATTATCTGGAAGAAAATCTAATGTATAGATTCAGTTTATATTTTACTTATACATTACTAAGTGGTTCATATTCATCTGTTATTCATTTTGGATATATTTTAGCCAGTTTTCCTTGAGAGCCAGAGTGGTAGGCGGAATTTTTTTTAAATTTAATTTTACTAATTTTTGTAAAGACACGGTCTGTTAATTTACTAATATTTAATTACTAACACAATTATTTGTTGTAGCTGCATTCTATAATTATTCTTCCACGATCCCTGGTCACTTTGATGTATGCTATGTGTATATTGTGCGGCAATGGAATTAGAATGGTCTGTTTTAATGTGTTACACTTATGAAATTAAAAAACTGCATTACCACCCCTTTGGCCTCTGATGCTAAACCCCCTGGGACTCAAAGAGTTAACATCAAATCTTTTCATATGTAGTGCTTGACAATGACCATAGCATAGAAATAGATACTGAAGAATGAAACAGTACTAACCTTTGCTTACAATAGGAATTTGATGAGTTTAAATCTTTGCCATGCGCTAAGTAAACTTTTGTACAGCTAGCCTCCATTGTTGAAACGTGTACTGTTTAACTGTTCAAAAGCAGCCAAATCTGTACAATTATTTTCTGTGGATGATACAATTCACATACAGAAGTCTAATCGAAGGACAAAAGACATACCGAAGCAAATCATGGTTAGTTAGCCAAAAAGTAAACAAATGATGTGGAAACATCAGAGATGTGGTTTTATAGATGAATGATGAGAACACCCTGGACAGACAAAAAGAGTAATGAAGATTTCTTGAAATAAACCAGCTCAACAAGAGAATTGATTGCCCGCATCAGGAGGAAATCTTCATTCTTTGGTCATGTCACAAGAATGAGAAAACGAGTTTATCATGTCATAGAAGATTATCTGTGTCAGAATTTATTGAAATTATAAACTACAAACATTCGTTAACTGGTGCCTGCGCAGAATAGACTGAATTAAACGATATCATAGAATCACTAATGTAGAGCTTTGGGAGAGAGAACCAAACAAGTTTCAGTGGACCAAAAAATGTTGAATGTTGAATAAATAATCAACACAACAGCACTCGGAACATTACGGTAAGAGCTCTGCTCTCATCTACTTCAGCAGAAAAGAAGTCCCATTCCAATGGCACTAAACTGTATGATTATATATCCATCTCACCAAACAAGTTCCAGTGGACTAAACTGTATGATTATATATCCATCTCACCAAACAAGTTCCAGTGGACTAAACTGTCTGATTATATATCCATCTCACCAAACAAGTTCCAGTGGACTAAACTGTCTGATTATATATCCATCTCACCAAACAAGTTCCAGTGGACTAAACTGTCTGATTATATATCCATCTCACCAAACAAGTTCCAGTGGACCAAACTGTCTGAATATATATCCATCTCACCAAACAAGTTCCAGTGGACCAAACTGTCTGCATATATATCCATCTCACCAAACAAGTTCCAGTGGACCAAACTGTCTGAATATATATCCATCTCACCAAACAAGTTCCTGTGGACTAAACTGTCAGAATATATATCCATCTCACCAAACAAGTTCCTGTGGACCAAACTGTCTGAATATATATCTATCTCACCAAACAAGTTCCTGTGGACCAAACTGTCTGAATATATATCCATCTCACCAAACAAGTTCCTGTGGACCAAACTGTCTGATTATATATCCATCTCACCAAACAAGTTCCAGTGGACCAAACTGTCTGATTATATATCCATCTCACCTTTCCCTTCAGTGTTGAGCATCGGCCAGATCCCCTGGTAACTTCTCGCAGTGCTATTTTCCTCAGACGGTAATGATCTATTTGTGCCTCTGCACTGTTTACTATCTCCTAACGGGCCCTCATAACATACAGCTTGTCATACATCAATTAACTACTAAGAACCAGCCAGACTATCTATATGCTTGTTTCCTAACACACCAGGATGGGCTAGGAGAAATATCCAATGGATGCTAATTGCCCTCTGAATTGATGCTTGCCACTCTGCAGGGAGCATGCCTGTCTCCACCTTTCTCAACATGCTCTGTTAATCAGTGGACAATCACGGCATGTGTGTACAGCTGATTCTAAAGCCAGCAAAATGCAGCAGTGACTGCCTCCACCTCCATTCTCAAACTTACGCTGTGATATCATATGCCAGGCTTTGTTGCACCAAGCGACATCCATTCGCCTTTGCTATAAACCTCCATGCACTTCGTCTACCCCTCAACACAAAAATGTTGAATGTTGAATTAAAAATCGGGCTCTCCTTTGAATCAACCCCCAAAATGGCGGCTTTAATATGATGCTGTTCGAAAGAGAGCTAAATTGGCCAATTTCTTGCCAGAAAATATCCAAAAATATCAGAATGGGGCTCAGTTCTATTAAAAATATGCCGGGGCTCCGTATAACGAAAAAAAATGCTCTAACAGGGTCTCAGCGATATGTTACTTACGGACCTGCTGCTGCAAGTGTGCCTCACCACCGACCGTTTCCTCCGTGCCGCTACGCTCGGCGCGGATGGGGACTAAACTAGATGGCTGGGACTCACGAGCGGCAGCTACCGCATCTCCTGCAACTTCCTCCAATTACTTTACTCGTGAGTCCTAGGCACCTAGTTTAGCCCCCATCCGCGCCGCGCGTAGCGGCGCGGGGAATACCCTCGGCGATGAGTTGAATCCCGTTTGGCGCATGCGGACAAGTCTGACATCTACCGCTGCTAAATCCTCCAATCGGAAGAACACAGTATTGCTAATCAGCTTTCATCGTCTGTAATGTCTGGAAATTGTCAACGGTCGTTAATATCGTCTGCTAGTATCGTCCTCTGCAGAAACGCTCAAAATTGTCAACGGTTGGTATTTATCATCTGCTACTACCGTGTGCAATGTTGATATTGATTGTAAAGTAATCCTAGTTTTGCCGCGATTTGTTCCTTGGCAGAAAGTCTGTATTTTAGACATACGCAAACACAGTCGTTCGGATATTTTTGGATATTTTATGGCCAGAATTTGGCATGCCGCCATTTTGGGGGTTGATTCAAAGGAGAGCCAAGAATCGACATCACAGCACTTGGGACACTCCAATAAGCGCTTCGTCCCCATATTCAGCAGCAAGCACAGAGTTCCCCTCAACACAGAGCCATCTAAATAGATAATCACATCACTTGGGCGGGAATAGTCAGAAATCTTTTGTTGAACTTCTGATTCTGCAGCGCCAGCTGGCCAGTCCTGCACTCACGACCCAAAGTGATAAGAACCCTGCACAAGTTTGTAACTTGCTTTGACACTTTGACCTACTCCTCACCTCGCACAAATTTATCCAGCCTGCACACTGACACATGTCTGATTGTGTAAGATAATCCTTTCTAATCAAAAATCACCTTTCTCGACATACTCTGTGAGCAAACTATTAATTATGACCGAGTCTACCATTACATACTTTTGCCTTGGCCAAGAAAAACAGTCACCGATGCAAGTGATCAAACTTTATGGCTCGCTGAGTGAATTAATTAGGAAGTTCATAAAACATTGCAGATATAGATAATTTATTTTAAGCAAGCGAAAGAAGAAGAAGAAGAATTTATAATATTTTTGGTAATCTACCAACTTAAATTAGCAATATATCGTTTCTAGTCGGGATTATACGGCAATATTTGAAGATCAAGTTTTTTAAAAGCCGTTACTTGCTAAATTTCTGACGCCATATTGTTTACACTAGTTACGTTATCTATGGTTGATAATAAAAATCTATTGATACGGTCGCCGAGCGGCTTCGCATAATCACATTATCATCATCATCATCCTCATCATCATGTAAAAAGTCCTTTGCAGAACGTCGCTCACATCACGGTCTGCCTGAAAGAAAGTCAGCTCTGCCGCCTTGTAGACTTTCTTGTCAAGAAGTAACCTATATACTGAGCCCATCTTCCTGTAGGTCAGCCCCTGCCTCTCCTTCCTGTTACCATGCCGCTATAATTTATTCCAATCAGTCGTGGCGAAAATATGACCAAAATATTGCAGCTTCCGAGACAAAATGCTATTTATTAGCCAATCGTCCTTGGTGTTCAGATCTTTTAGAATGTCAGTATTTCTTTTCTTCTTTTTGTCTCTCTAGATACCAATCTGGTAATCCAATAATTTTCTCATCTCATTGACGATAGTTCTAACCATTATTCAGGCGATGGAAGTTCCAACTTCAAAGCAAACAGGACACCCCATTGATGCTCCGTTTCTAAGACAAAAAAAAAAAAAAAGACCACAGAATCGTCATCATTGCCTCTTGCAGACAAAACTGACACATCTTGCGAACTCAGTAAAGACAATAACATATACAAACACAATCGTCTTCATTACCATCATCATCATTGGGTGTCTTGTCGACTAGGGTAAGCAATCATGCTTCTTCACAACCTACAATATTCCTTCTTCTTCTCGTTCACCGGCCGTAAAACCCGGTTGAAGTTTCTCGGTGTTAGTCTACTTCTGGACTGCAGTCATATTTTAGAACCTGAGTGTTGTGTAAGCATTCGTTTGACAGATCTGACTCATTCGTATGCAGACTGTTGGTTCTCTGCCTCTCAGGTAGATGCACTCCGACTTTGAAGGAAGCTCCCAATTAGTAGACTCTTACGACGTGTTTTGGGGTAGTCAGTGGGTCTATTCTTGTTTTCCCTATAACCGGGCCCCAGAACCCACAAGGGGACAACAATATTCAAAAACAGGTTTTTATTTATGGCGCTACCCAGCTGTACGCAGTACCTTTTGGACATCTTATTTATGGTGCTACACAACTGTACGCAGTACCTTTTGGACATCTTACTTTTTCCAGCAGTGCCTTAAAAGAGATTGTGTGGTGAGCAAAGACACAAAGCGATGAGCATCGGCCCCATTTTTTCCCCCCTCAAAGTGCACGTTTTTATTTTTTTGTACCTGTCCTTTCCATGCCATGACGAAAAGGTGATGAAAATTTTATTTAGTTTTTTCCCCTCCTTCTTCTACTTCTCCTCCTCTGTCGCCTCATCGTCTTCTTCTTGTCCTCCTCGTTCTCCTTCTTCTAATCTTCAGCATTTCGAACCCTTGAGGTTCCACGTTGTAGATATTTCCCCTGCTTCCGTTCGTTCCCGTGATTTACCCTCTTTCTGTTAGGAACAAAATGAGTTGACTGTTGCAAGAGAGGTATGAAAAAAAATGTGTGTTTGAAATCAAACAAAATTTGGACTTGAGCCTATATTACTTAAAATGAGATTTGATAACTTGATCATAACCACAAGCCACTCCGCGATCTACACACCAGAAAACTTGTTAATCAACATAGGACTGGAACTATTAGCCATCGGACGTTGGGGTTCATACTGAGGGGAGGATCTGAGCACCTATGGACATGTCCAGAGTGCAGTGATGATAACCCAACTAACTAACTAACTAACTAACTAACTAACTAACTAACTAACTAACTAACTAACTAACTAACTAACTAACTAACTAACTAACTAACTAACTAACTAGCTAACTAACTAACTAATACTCCACGATCTAAGTGAACAAAGTAGGGTGACTGCAATACAGCTATGAACATTTAGACAAGACTGAGAAAGGTAAAAGTATGTGTCAGCTTTACAATTCCAATTACAAACAAACAAAGCAAATAACGGCGATTAGCCCCCATCAGCAGAATAAGGATAGTTTACAGCTAGAAGCTGTATAGGGGAAATTAAATGGTATAATATAATAACTAATGAATAGCTTTGGGAGCGAACTAAGGCTCCAGTAGACCAAAAGATGAGGAAAAGACGCTGGCGTTGGATAGGACACACACTGAGAAATCTGGAGAACAGCACAACTAGATTGTCTTTACATTGGAACCTACTGGGGCATAGGAATAAAGAAAAGCCCCAAAAAAAAAAAAAAAAAAAAAAGGAGAAGAGAACGGGAGAATGAAGTTAGAAAGATGGGGAGGACATGGCGAGAGCTCCATGTAGTACTAATGGCGAAGGATAGAACGACTTGGCGTGAGTTGGTTGAGGGCCTATGCTCCATTGGGGGATAGAAAGGCAGAAGAAGAAGCCAGCTAGAAGCAGAAAGTAATCGCTATTGTTCACACCTAATCGACTACTGATAATCGACAATCATAATCGACGACGTTCGTTTGTATCAAGCCAGGGATCTTTCCCAGGTGCTGTGTGCAATAATAATAAAACGTTTGCGCTAAATCCATTGTGAAATGACAGCAGAGCTTCAGTGGCGTCGACGATGGAAGCCAGACTTGAAATCTTCCCCGTGGAAACCTTTAGAGCAAGTAGATATACAAGATGCTAGAGATACTTCGCAGAAATACTTGATGAAAACCAAGTTTGACGACCGTTCGTGTGAATTGTTGGTCACAGATCTCTCACACTTTTGGTATGAGAAACTTACAGAGGATGCCTTGAAGAAGCGAGTTGCAGTAAGTATTTTTGTTACACGCTCTTTGCGGACTGGTGTGAATTTTAGTTTCAGAGGGTTTCATGTTTTTGTATTTAGTATTTGTGTCTGTGTGTGTGTGGGGGGGGGGGGGGGGGGGGGGCAGGTCAGTATCACAAGGAAGGTAACAAAAGGTGTGTTAATACTTTGTATTAGTACTATTAGGGCCTATGCTGCACTGCGAGATAATGGGAATAAGGAGAAAGAATACAGTTTAATAGAGCTGTGTTTCAATATGGTTTGGGACCTGTTGTGGGGAGTACAAGAATAGACCCACTGATCCGCAACAAGCATGTCCTGTGAGTCACCTAACTGGGGCCATCCTTTGAGGTCAGAGTGCATCTGCTTAAGAGGCATGGAACCAACAATCTACAAACAATTAAGTCAGATCTGTAAAATGGACGTGCACATAATACTCAGGTTCTGAAACAAGACTAAAGTCTAGAGGTGGACAAAGCAGAGTTTTTAGCCAGTGAACATGTGAAAGAAAAACTCAGTACATACTGAAGTAACCAGGAGATCTTAATGTAAGGATACTTCTACTGCTTCCTTTTCACATGATGAATGTTTTTTGTCACATTTGGGCCTCATCGTCATCATCATCATTATTATACATCAGCAGGTCCTTTATGGACTGTCACACTTGTCACTGCATTCCTGAAAGTCTAGCTGACTAAGTGTGCATTCAGAGCCAGTGCCAGACTTGTATTCACCTTTGTAGAAGTCAGCCTCGGCCTCTTTTCCATGAAACTGTACCCTCCGTCACCGTTCTCTCCAGAATCCCATACCATTGAACATGGTGAAAATAGCTCAGCTTTCAGGACATGGTGCTGTTGGGTAAAACAGGCAGTTGCATTTGATTGTGGTTGAATTTGTTCTTAAGTTATTGAGGAATCACTTAATTGCTTCATTCATATAACTGTTAACTGTTATATGCACCTGACAAAATACTGAGATATATATCGGGCAACAAATTGTGCAGTCTATTATTTGTGTCTTCTTTTTTCAAATTTACTATGGGGAACAGTGCTTTGATTTACTTAGAAAGTTGCTGTAATTAGAATAATATTTCTTTGTTGTTGTTGTAATTCCTCAGAAACAGAATCCAAGCATCGAGGCACCTCTACCAAAAATACTTGATCACATACAGAGCAGTCTACAAAAGCCTGGAAAAGAAACGCAGCTTTCTCTGACTCACCAAAATGATAGAATTATTTTGAAGGTCAACTCTTTGTTGGCTGGCATGCCCTTTCACTTTAGCTTCCAGGCTGAACTTGCTGACCAAGAAATGGTGAGTTGTTTCTACATTTATATAGCTGTGCATTCTTTCTCTTTGCTGTTGTCAGAGACCTTTTCCAGTCACCGCTGATAGAACTGTCTTTAACAGAGAATCAAATGGAGACCCTGGGAGAAACACATTGTAGAAGTCGTCGACGTGGTCAGCATAGACTTTGTTAGCTACCATATCCAACACATGAAAACAAAAACCTAACCTGTCAGTCCCTACAAACCAAACCATCACTATCCACTTGTTCCTCTCTGCCTTCCTCTCATCCATTCAGCACTAATGTCCTGAAATCCACCAGTGAGCAAACATGCTTTTTTCAAAACAACACTACAAAACTAGTCATACACTAATAACTGCCTCCATGACATAGCAGTTTTCTCCCAGTAATTCTGTGATCTTGCCCTAATCCACACCCGACTTCCTTGAGATTTAGTTCTGTGATCTTGCCCTAATCCACACCCGACTTCCTTGAGGTCTAGTTCTGTGATCTTGCTTTAATCCACACCCGACTTCCTTGAGGTCTAGTTCTGTGATCTTGCCCTAATCCACACCCGACTTCCTTGAGATTTAGTTCTGTGATCTTGCCCTAATCCACATCCGTCTTCCTTGAGGTCTAGTTCTGTGATCTTGCCCTAATCCACACCCGACTTCCTTGAGGTCTAGTTCTGTGATCTTGCCCTAATCCACACCCGACTTCCTTGAGGTCTAGTTCTGTGATCTTGCCCTAATCCACACCCCACTTCCTTGAGGTCTAGTTCTGTGATCTTGCCCTAATCCACACCCGTCTTCCTTGAGGTCTAGTTCTGTGATCTTGCCCTAATCCACACCCAACTTCCTTGAGGTCTAGTTCTGTGATCTTGCCCTAATCCACACCCCACTTCCTTGAGGTCTAGTTCTGTGATCTTGCCCTAATCTACACCCGACTTCCTTGAGGTCTAGTTCTGTGATCTTGCCCTAATCCACACCCGACTTACTTGAGGTCTAGTTCTGTGATTCTCTTCCTTGTTTTTCTTTCCGAAGCTGCAGTGTGGATACTTGTTTCTGCATTTCATTGGTTTGACCCCTTGATGCTGGGCCCTCTGATGCAGCAGTCAACTCATTGTCTTCTTGCTCACTGTACCCAGTAGGACAGGGCTATTCAACTGGCAGCTAACTGGCCAAATCTGGCCCGCGGAGACTTAGCAAGTGGCCTACTGATCGTTTGCCATTTGTATTAATGATCTTTCTATTCTGGGGCTGAAGCCTCTGGCCAGTGATGATCCTCATTTTCAAAATGTGGCCACTGAGAAAACAGTTGAATAACCTTGCAGTAGGAGTTGGTAGGCATATTTTCCTTGTTTGCTCCACAGCCAGTTGCTCCATGTTATCCTCATTTAAAACCTATTTCCAAACAAGCAGGCAGTTCATCATCTCTGACGTCCTTTCTCAACATCATATGTGCAAATGAAACAACATATTTGAGGATGCCTCAATCTCCAGTTATGTGCAGTTTAAGTAGAGGGGATCTATGAGAGGTTGATTCCCATGTGCTTACAGCCAGCATGCATCTGGTATGGCCAGCGTCAGTTCTTTGCTACATTTGCTGTGGGAGACAGGACATCTGTGGGGTTCCCTTAATGCTGTGTTGATTCTTTAACCAATCATTCTTAGATGCCATTTTTAGTTTTACGTTTGGATATGCTAAGATCTTCTGAGTGCCCAGGCCAAAGGTGTTAGTAAACATATGTGGTCCACAACCCCGGTCTTTCAATCATTTCCGATAGAGATCTTGCATGTCATGACGCCAAACTGTCCGACATCCTCTCTCTTGGTTGCCCTGTACTTCTCTTCCCCTCCAGCTAAGAATTCCTTTCTTTCTTCACAGTTAAACATCAATAGGCAGTCAGCGTTCTTTTGACCTCATTATGAGAAGAGAACAATTGATGCTTACTATAACAGATTGTAAAATTAATTGGGGGGAGAGATCAAGGAAGGCAGCAGGACAAGGTTGTGGAAAACCTTGCCTGACGACATGGGCTTCTATAAGCATATGAATGGCTTCATTCAGCTAGAGGACTGTAACAGTGGAGAAGCATAGTCACTTATGCCACTGGTCAAGATGCAAGATGGTGATACCTGTGTCTCTCTGTTTTCTCCCATTTTTTTTTTAAACATTATTAGACTATCTCTGTGGATTTAATGGGGTAATCATCATTGGCTACTGATATATTGGTCTGTGTGTGTGCACGCATGTGTGCTGTTCTTATCAGTTTACTCTTCTTTAGCTGGACTAAAAACAGATTGACAAGTTTTTCACAATTTTTTTAAAATGGGTCAGTAAAGGATATTTTGTGTGATTCGGTGCTTTAATAATATCTTACCCCAAACAGGGGAAATCTACAGATCACGGGACAGTCTGATATTTCAGGGGGTGGTAGATAGGCTGCATGCAGTCATGGGACCTAGGCTTCACTCTCTTGTGGGATGTAGGAGGGTTGGGGTTAGGGCCATTTATAGATCTTTTGGGGTCATTAAAAGCATCAGAAAGCCGGGAAACCCAGTCTTACCACCCTCTAAAATGTTGGACTGTCCTATGACATCTCTGCGGTAGGATATTAATAAAGCACCTGTAATTCCACTGGCACAGAATAGAACAGTTATGGGATGCCCTATCTCCACTGATTTTTGAACCTGAACTAATGACTAACAACCATTGTGTCTGAGAACTAATGACTAACAACCATTGTGTCTGAGAACTAATGACTAACAGCCATTGTGTCTGACCAACTGAGGTGGAGGGATCTGAACAGCCACCAGCCACTGGTGACCAAACAGCATGCAGTGTAAGATTTTGATGATGATTGTTAAAGACTGTTCGAGGACTCGCCGGGTGATGAGATCAGTATCATGCTAGCCGACTGGAAGCAAAGTCAGTTAAAAAGTCCACCTCAAGTGGGGAATCGACCCTGTGACTACTAGACCAGCAGCCAAGAGTGCTAGGCTGAATGAAACAATTTTAAAATGCCCGGCAGGGAATAAATGGATGTAAACAGGTCTGTTTCCCTGATGGTAGGCAACACTGAATTTTTAGACACTTTGTCATAAGTACCAAGCACCTTTTTTTCCTTGAAAAAAAAAATCCTTGGGTTTATAAATCAGAAAATGTTTTGTTGGCATAGTGGTTTATTGCACTTGATAACTAAAGGACTAATCAAGTTCAGGTCTCCTGCAGAATTATTGTGTCTGACCAGTTCTTGGGCCAGCTTTAATAAAGACTATTGTTAAACATGTTTCTGAGACCATCGGTGAGATTTTAAATGTAACCTAAAATGATTTATTCATTAAATGGCCAAGAAGACTTGACGATTCCTCTGACGGAAATAGCTGGGAAATCGTCTGAACAGTTTCTTGTGTCAGGCTGCATCGTCATTATCACGTGCCCTGCCGACTGGCGTAGGCATTCATGCATCTTCACAGATCTCAGTCCCTTGTCCTCTGGATCAGTTCCACCGATGATATCCCTTTTGCCACGGTGACAGTCCATTCCTCATCATCTCTCTTGGTCTGCCTCTCCCACTTCTGCTGGTGATCTTCCAATCGTCACAATATACCCTGAAGCCTCCCCCACCCCCATCCTTATAGCAGTATATATTGATCTGCTCTCATAATGTTCCTTCAAGCAATCCTTGTTGTTACTCTGGCAGTCCAGGTGATTCTTAACATTCGTCTGAAAAACCACATCTCCATTTTCTCCAAGTTCTAATAAAGACTATCATAAAAATAGTTTTTGAGGCCATTTTCTGGTGAGATTTTAAATGTAGCGTTCAATGATTTGTTTATTAAAGGGTCGGGAACATTTAACAATCCCTCTGATGGCAATGGTTGGGGAGTTGTACAGACAGCAGCAGGAGCTCTTTCGCTTGCTTGCCTTGAAGGACAAACAGATTGATGATTATAAATCCCAGGGAGCAACAGTTTCCAGAAGTGAGTCAACAGTAGATCTTGTCTTTATTGGTCATCATCACGTGCAGTTCATCATGTTCCTCCACAATCATCATGTTCCTGCGCAATCACCATGTTCCTCCTCAGTCTCATGTGCTTCTATAGTCATTATGTTCCTCCATAATCATCATGTCCATTCACAATTATAATATTCCTGCACAATCACCATTTTCCTTCACAGTCATCATGTTCCTCAACAGTTGTCATGTTCCTCCACCATCACCATATTTCTCCACAATCATGTTCCTGCACCATCACCATATTCCCCCACAATCATGTTCCTGCACCATCACCATATTCCTCCACACTCATGTTCCTGCACCATCACCATATTCCTCCACAATCATTTTCCTGCACTGTCACCATGTTCTTCCACAGTCATTATGTTCCTCCTCAATCATCATATTCCTCCACAGTCACCATGTTCCTTCACTATCACTATTTCTGGTAATCTTAGTTTCAGCTTCATAGCAAACAAGTCACCCCATCTTTGCTCTGCTCCTGTGCCAACGAAAAACACACAGAATATCACAGTCCCTTAGGGAAAGATTGACAGACCGCTTTCTCAGCATATCTAGCATACACATGCATTAAAAGCATACAGTAGCCATCCGAAGTGCTAACACAAACAGTCCAGCATTAGAAATGCAGTTCATCATTGATAGTAGCAGAAGTCACCAACAGATCAGCAGTTTCAAATGCGATCAATTTTAATCACATAAGGGCACCACCAACATTGCGATAACAGGCATCACACCATTTTTAAAATCTACAATTCACACCACCACGTTGGTCACAGTTGAAAATAACATTCCAAATAAAATGTGCAGCTCAAAGTGTCACGCCATGCATTAAACTCAGAAGCGACGAAACTATATCTCTTCAGCCTACAAATGGAGCAAAAATGCAACAGCCATCATCTGGCAAAAGCAAAAAATTTGCCTCGGCTCTAAACAGTGCCTGTGCCCAGCGTCCATTTTGACCAGAAGACCATGTTCCTCCACAATCACCATGTTTGTCTTGTGTCCTACGCTCGATAAGTATTTTTACATTCACTTGATTTTATTTTGTTGT